CAAATTGCACAGGATGGATAAGTCGTTCCCAACGTTCTCCCTTCCGAAATCCGACATGCCATTTCGTCGGTAAAGAAACAAACAGCACCCAGCCAAGACAAGGTCAGACCTGAACACCTGAATAACCTGCCGTCAGTACTCATCAATACACTGGCTCGGCTCTTCACTCGCTACCTGTCTGAATGCAAGGTTCCGTCCCAATGGAAAACCAGCAGGACCGTACTACTGTTCAAGAAGGGAGACATCCATGACATTGGCAACTATCGCCCGATCTGCCTATTGTCTGTCATCTACAAGTTGTTCACTCGAGTCATCCTGAATAGGATTGGCAGAACACTAGATGAAGGACAACCATGCGAGCAAGCAGGGTTCCGCAAAGGATTCAGCACCATCGACCATATCCACACGGTAACCAAGCTCATTGAGGTTTCTCGGGAGTTCAAGATGCCGCTCTGTTTAACGTTCATTGATTTAAAGAAGGCCTTTGATTCTGTTGAGACGGAAGCGGTCATTGAAGCCCTAGCCAATCAGGGCATTCAAGCCCAATACATCAGGATCCTCCGTGAGCTGTATTACGGATTCACTACCAGGATCTCACCATTCTACAAAGAAGTGATCGTTGATGTCAAGAGAGGGGTGTGGCAGGGTGATACCATTTCACCGAAACACTTCAGTGCCACCCTCGAGAACATCATGCGATGACTGGAATGGGAAAACATGGGAGTGAAGATAGATGGTCAGCAACTACACCACCTCCGCTTTGCTGATGACATTGTTTTAATAACACCAAACATCAGCCAAGCGGCACAAATGCTGGCCGACTTTGACCGTGAGTGTGGAAAGGTAGGACTACAGCTGAATCTTACGAAGACAATGTTTATGAGAAACAGCCTTGTTCCTGACGCCCCATTCGCTCTCAATGGAATGACCATCTCCGAATGCAACAGCTATGTGTACCTAGGTCAAGAGGTCAACATGACAAATGACCTGGCACCCGAGCTGCGCAGGAGGAAGAGAGCGGCTTGGAACGCCTTCAAGAACGTCGAAGAAATAGCTAAGAGGACGAAGAACCTCCGGCTCCGGGCACATCTTTTTGATTCCACTGTTCTTCCTGCATTAACATATGCCTCAGAGACCTGGGCCCTATGCAAACAAGATGAGAACGCTATTCAGGTCTCCCAAAGAAGAATAGAAAGAGCTATGCTTGGACTATCACGTTTCACTCAAATGAGAGAACAAATCCGGAGTTCTGACATCCGTCGACGATCAAGGATCAGGGACGCTGTCTCATTTGCCAAGGTGTCGAAAATCAGATGGGCTGGTCACGTAATGAGATTTAAAGACGACCGTTGGACTAGAGCTGTTACTGATTGGATTCCACGGGATGTCAAGAGACCACGTGGCCGCCCACCCACCAGATGGTCAGACTTCTTCGTCAAGATCATGAGCGTTCGGTTTGAGGCCCTTCATGTTCCTTGAGCGAACAGATGCCATTGGGCTACAGTAGCACGCGACAGGGACAAATGGAGACGTTACTGGCGCCCGCTCGAGCAAATCGACGACTAACGGGATGTTAAGTGATTAAGTGATTAAGTGTTGGCAAGCAAAAATGTTTTCATGGAAATTCATCTTAGCTAAGTTGTGAGTGTGAGCACTGTGATTCCACTTGACTTTGTGTTCCAGTAATGTGATTACAAGAGAGGACATAACTAGCCCTGATCTTTAAATGATTTGGAGAAAAAGCATTTGAGAGACTCCTTGTTTAGGCTGTGGCCTCTGGGATCTATGTATTTGTATCTGCATTTTCTCCATTTAAAAGATTTGCTGGACGGGGACTGGGCCTCCTCCACTCAAATCCCCCGTTTTCCAGTAACTTGACAGTCACACCCACAAACTGCCCTTGTAATCTCATCAACAGGCAACATCCAGAGACTATAAAACAACGCTCCTGGAAGAGAGCGACACAGAATTTCCATCTCTCTCGGAGAGTCCAGCAAGCTACCAAGAATATCCCGCCCTCACGGTAGAGCCTGGCAAGCTACCCATGGTATATTCGATATGCCAAAAATGGTAACAATAATGAGCCTCACTTCATACTCCTGGAGCAAGCAGATGCCATTGGGATACACTAGCACGTGACAGAGACAAATGGAGGAGTTACTGGTGCTTGCTCAAGCAAATTGATGAACAACTGGATGACAGTGCTACAGTGCTTACAGTGCTGAAAGTAGACTATAGACCAAATATGGTGGCCACTTACTACCTGTATTGCAAACCATAGCACCCAAAAGGAGAGAGAGAGTAAAAGAGAATGTGCCTGCCACAGAGGCTGGTGGGGGAGAAGGTGGGATGGGGGGCGGGAGGGATACCAGGAACACTGATGGTGGAGAATGGGCACTGGTGGAGGGATGGGTACTCGATCATTGTATGACTAAAATATAATCACGAAAGTTTGTAAGTCTGTAACTGCATCTCACAGTCACAAATCACAAATCATCCTGTTATTCGTTGATTGCTTCGAGCAGGCCCCAGTAACGTCTCCTTCATCCTAGCCCTGAGATTATATTCAAGGCTCTTTAGGAGAATGAGACCCATCATTGTTACTGGTATTTGGCATATCGGGTACATTATGATTCATTAAAAAATAAAAAAGAATTAAAAACAAGAAAAATAATAAATAAAGGTTTGCTCAGAACCAGGGAGAAAGTGCAAAGGGCTAGAGCACATGCTCTGCATGCAGGAGGTCCAGATTTGATCCCTGAACCACGTGGTCCTCTGAGCACTTAATTGGAGAAATCCCTGAGTTCCAAGGCAGAAGTAGTCCCTAGATATCACCATTGCTTCCTCCCACTGAAAAGAGGTCTGTTCAGTTAAAAATATGTTGGAGGTTTTGGAAGACACATAAACAGTTGTTCTCCTAGTGTTTCTTTGAGATTGTTTGTTTGTTCTTGTGAGAAGTTGAAGTGCTCAACAATTTGAGCTCGGTTTGCAACCTGCTATCTACATAGCTGCATAAAATTGTCCTTTAAAAGAAACATCAAGGTTTTAGAGTCCACGAGACAAAACAGTGTAGATCTTAGAAAATTTTGGGACAAGCTATGTTTGCCCAGGAGGACAGTAAACATGTGCCCAGGAAAGAATAGAATAAAACACTGCAGGATTTATATATTTTTAAAATTTTTTTATTTGTTTAAATTTTATTTATTTATTTATTTTTTAATAGTGAGGCACCATGAGGTACAGTTGTAGACTTACACATTTTTGTGCTTGGGTTTCAATTATACAATGATCAAACACCCATCCTTCCACCAGTGCGCATTTCTCACCACCTCGGATCCCAGCATTCCCTCCCCCCCCCCCCCAGCCCCTATCCCACCCTGCCTCTGTGGCAGGGCATTTCCCTCTCTCTCCTTTTGAGTGCCATGGTCAGCAAAAGAGGCATTGAGTGGCAATCATGCTTGGTCGACAGTCTACCCTCAGCATGCTCTCCCATCATGGGCGGATCTTCCCAACACCCTTTATTTGGTGTTCCCTTCTCTTTCTGAGCTCCCCCTTCCCCTAACATGTGTGGTAACTGTAGGATTTTTAAATGGGAGGATAAAGTAAAGAAAAGTCCTCCCGTTGTTCATTGATTTGCTCGAGTGGGCCCAGTAACGTCTCCATTTTTGAGACTTGTTGTTACTGTGTTTGGCATATTACTATATTCGGTAGCTTGCCAGGCTCTCTGAGAGGGGTGGAGGAATTGAACCCAGCTCAGCTGGGCTGGTTGCGCGCAAGGCAAATGCCCTACCTCTGTGCTATCGCTCCAGCCCTAATGGGGGGATAATATCGGCAAAACTTGAATGAGAAATTTTCATGGTTTTACTCTATACTTTAAAGGTACCTGCCATTTGGCTGTGTGAAATATCTTAGCTCTGCTCTTAATGTACCCATTGACTTTTTATTTATTTATTTTTTTTCTTTTGGGGTCACACCTGGCATTGCACAGGGGTTATTCCTGGCTCATGAAGTGAGGAATTACTCTGGGAGGTTCTCAGGGGACCATATGGGATGCTGGGAATCTAACCTGGTCAGGTGCATACAAGGCAAATGCCTTACCTGCTCTATTATCGCTCCAGCTCCCCCAAAGACTTCTGATGTAATTATGTACTGTACTCAATCTGTCTACTTAAACAATAAATCCTGACTTGAGAACCAGAGCGAGGAAGCAAGAAGATATTACGCTGAATAAATGGCCAGCCTGGGAGTTCACTGATAGCTACACAGGTTACCCTAATCTTGGACGTTCCTTGTGGGATTGCTCATCTCTTTGTGTATTTGCTGGTATCATTTTCTGTGGCTGACCCCCATCTAGACAAAGGTTGAAGGCGGTAATCAGATTGGCTTTATTGTGGCAAATTGCTATAAATTCCCATCAGTGTTCTGGGCCAGGAGAGATAGAAAATATTTCTAAGGAAAGATATCTATGATAACTCACAGATAATCAACTCTGTTCTTTCTTCAGAAGGAACATGGAAGTTGACAGTTTTCTCTTGACCATGCCGTATTGGACCAGGGAAGCAATGCAGAGGGGAGATTACAAACCATGAGTTTCTCTGTCCATTAACCCTATTTATTATTGACATTGTTGGTTGCCTGGATATAGCTAGTTTCTGAAGTTTTCATGAAAGAAATTTGGTTGTTATCTCAGCATAGAAGCAAATCTAGAATTCCTTATTTCACAATCATGCTCTTGGATAATTCTTCACCTGTAATTATGACTTCTGTAATTGCTTTTTTTCTTTTTGGGTCACTCCTGGCAATGCATAGGGGTTACTCCTGCAGGAATTACTCGTGGTGGTGCTCTGGGGACCGTACGAGATTCTGGAAATCGAACCTGGGTTGGCTGCATGCAAAGCAAACGCCCTACATGGGTGCTATCGCTCCAGCCCCTGGAATTGTGTTTTATCATCCCAGTAAACACGTTATTGAAGAAAAAAACTACACTATGAAAGTTTGTTTTATAAAGTCCTCTGTTTCTGCAATACTTTCTTGAAGGCAGCCTTCACCTGCGCATTTCTCAGACTGTAGACAAGAGGGTTCAGCAGCGGATTGAAGAGGGTATAGAAAAGAGAAATGATTTTATTCTGCTCATCATGCTGACCATTGTCTGGGACCAGATACACCGTCATGGCTATTCCAAAGTAGAACCCAACCACGCAGAGATGGGAGGAACAGGTGGAGAAAGCTTTCTTGCGACCATCCTTTGACTGGATCTTCAGGATGGCCCAGAGGATGTGCATATAGGAAACGAGCATTAGGGAAAGGGGTCCAACTAAGATGAACACACCTCCAGCAAAGACAAATGTTCTGTTGAGTGAAGTGTCACCACAGGCCACCTTTAGGACAGCGAGGATTTCACATAAGAAGTGGTTTATCTCCTGGGACCCACAGTAAGGAAGTCTCAGGAAGAAAATTAGATTTCCTATGGCCACTGAAAAACCACAGGACCAGGAAATGATGGCCAGGACCTTACACTTTGTCCAACTCATGATAACAGTGTATTGGAGGGGGTGGCAGATAGCCACATATCTATCATAGGACATCACCACCAAGATCATGCACTCTGTAGAAGCAAAGCCCAAATATAAGACCATCTCCATAGCACAAGAAACAAAGGAGATCGTGTTTTTGTGTCTTATTAGGTTCTCCAGCAATTTGGGCAAATTGCTGGAAGCGTAGGATATGTCAATGACGGCCAGATGAGACAGGAAGAAGTACATGGGTGAGTGCAGCCTGGGGTCCAGCCAAATGAGTGCCAAGATCATGCCATTCGCCAACAAGTTTGACATGTATAACAGGCAACAGATGCAGAAGAAGAAGACTTCCAGTTTTGCACTGAGCTGAAATCCCACCAGGATGAAATCTGGGAACCATGACTGGTTGCCTCCCATTCCTGAATGACAGTGTAAGCGCTCAAGTGTGACAGGATGGTCAGTCTGGAGATGAATGAGAATTAGAGTTATTTATGTTAAAGCAAACTCTGAAGGTGCTTGCTCACTGAATAATGCTTAGCTCTGATTTTCCCCATTATTTCTTTTTCTTTTGGCTGTCATTTTTAAAAAACTTGGGCTGGAGCGATAGCACAGCGGTAGGGCGTTTGCCTTGCGTGCAGCCAGCCTCGCCGACCCAAGTTCGATTCCTCTCCACCCCTCTTGGAGAGCCCGGCAAGCTACCGAGAGTATCTCGCCCACACGGCAGAGTCTGGCAAGCTCCCCGTGACCTATTCCATATGCCAAACACAGTAACAACAAAGTCTCCAATGGAGACGTTACTGGGCCCGCTGGAGCAAATCGATGATCAACGGGAGGGCCTTTCTTACTTTTACTTTTTAAAAAACTTAATTATATTTACCATATTTACCATATTCATTACAGATATAAGCAATCTGTAAACATTTCACTAAGTGGTTTTTCAACTTTGTTTTATGATGTCTTTTTCTTTGTATTCAAGTATTCTAAGTTATTTTTTGGTGGAGGGCCTACATTTGGCAGTGCTCCTGGAAACATACATTTTGACAGGGATTAAAACTTAATTGGTTGCATGCAAGTGCCTAGCCTGATAAACTATCTCTTTGACCAGATATTCTAAGGCTTGAAACATAAAGAGTAAAGTTAAGTCATCACATTGTTTTATATTTTGTTACATTTTTTTTCCCAAAAAAAGATATCCACTTTTTTATCCTCAGGATTACTACCTAAACAGAAACTAGGATAACATAATTTTTAATTGTATATACAGTATTTTCTTCCTCTCTGATTGCAAATTTCATACAATATGATAAATTTAACCTCCCCTAATATATTGACTTAGATTTTCTTTGCCTAAATGTATATTCTACATAGTGGAGATAAAAATTCTACTTTGAAAATATTCTTTCAAATTTATTTTTTATTGATCACATTTATATCAAATTAGAGCTTATTGCTAACGTGAGGATAGCTATATTTTATGCTATCATTAGTATGAATACAAAGAATAAATAAATACAAGAAATATTAATGGTCATTGTTCTACATTTTTGCCATTGTGACCAAGGAATTATTCTATTTCCTCCAGTCCACAGGTGTGAAGTGGTTGAAAATTACTGCTTTAATCTAAAGGATTGACCTATATATGTTACTGTCAGTGCTTCAAATAAAACCAGAGAGAAATAGCTATGGCAATAATCACTCTTTAGGATTTTCTTTTTAGGCATCTTTTAATATGTTAATTAAGACTAAATACACAAATTTCTCCTTTATCTTCAAACACTGTTTTCTTTTTAATTCCAAACTGTGGTCCAAGAAGAATTTCTGTTTCCTTGATAATAACTTTCAGGAATGATTGGGTCATCAAAATAATAGGAATCCCTCTTGAATTATGTGGAATGACTGAAAATCTGAATAATCCGATTCACAGATATCATTAAGTATATATATTCATGGCAAATTTAAAAATATTTAATTTAATTATAATCATCGCTGTGAAATACATAAAATGCTGCATATCTGATCTGACTTGTATCAGTCATGGTCTATCCAATTTCTAAAGAGAACAGTCTTAGATTAGTTTCTTAAGATTGATGATAGGTAGTTTTATGTAACACTTTTGATAGTCTTCCAAGATTAAGGAAAATATTAGCATTAAAAGTATGTTATTCAACACTGAAATCAAAAGATCCAAATTTTATCAACCAAACTTAGAAAGGTGCCTTTCAGGAGGGCATGAGGGGGAGTTAAGAGCCTGGGTGGGATTTGGGTGGGAACCTGGCAACACTGGTGGAGAGAAGTTGACATTGGTGATGGGATGGGTATTGAAATGTTGTATGTCTAAAACTCAACTATGAATAACTTTGTAAATCATAGTGCTTTAATTTAAAAATGCGGAAAATACTCTCTCTAGATTGATTAGTATTTGGGTTTGAAGGAACAATGCACAGCTTCATGGACAGGTAACAACTTAGGGAATTCATAGACTTGAAATCAGTTTTATAAAAAATATTAAAAGGGCTTCTCTAAAGTCCAAGACAAACTTCCCAACATGTGGCATTGAGTATGGCACTCTCCCTGTGCATACAGTTGCCTTCTACGAGATTAGGAAAGGTAAATTGACTCCTAGTTTGCTAAGGGAAATTATCCAGTTTCAAGAATGAATTAATGTCTGATTTAGATTGGTTAACATCACTTACCAATCAAGTGTCACAAATTGCACTGTCCTCCTGTTGTTCATCGATTTGCTCTAGCAGGCCCAGTAATGTCTCCATTGGGAGACTTGTTGTTACTGTGTTTGGCATATCAAATACATCATGAGTTGCTTGCCAGGCTTTGCCATGCGGGAAGGATACTCTCGGTAGCTTGCTGGGCTCTCCGAGAGGGGTGGAGGAATCGAACCCGGCTCGGACAGGCTGGCCGTGTGCAAGGCAAATGCCCTACTCGCTGTGCTATGGCTCCAGCCCATCACAAATTGACTTTTACTAATTTATTTTCTGATAATTCCATTTGCCTTTAAGTTTTGTTGGAGCAATTCATATGAAATAAGCTTGTTATATGCCTGTCAAGGGGGTAAGCTAGGGATATGGGTCGAGGAAGGGGCACGTTGATGGTGAAATTGATGTTAGAATATTGTATTACTGAAACAAATGGATTATGAACAGTGGTGTAAATCATGATGTCTTAATCAAAATTCAAAGACAAATGCAAAAAAAAAAAAGAATTCTCCTGAAATAGAACAAAATAAAAGAAAAAGCAAAATAAAAATATGCCATTCTATAATAGTCTCCCATTATGTTTAGTTTCAACTATTCAAAGTCTCATTTCTGTACCCAGTGCCGGTCTGAAAATAGTATGCATAATAAGATATTAGGAGAGAGAGTAAAAAGAGAGTCACGTTGACTAACATTTATTATAGTATATCATTATTGCTCTAGTGTATTAGTTGTTTTTGTCAAACTCTTAGTATATCAATATAATAAAACTATCAAAGCTAGTCATGTATAGAAAAAATATAGCATATATACTTAGTGTAGTCCTGCTGTGAGTTCAGGCATCCATTTGGGGTTTGAGCTCATGGTGTATAAGGCAAGGAAACTGTGGGAAGGGAGAAATTTGTGCAAGCATAAATTCTAAAGCAGAAATATCTTGATCTGAAAAATATGTAAGGATCAATAAAGAATTCAATTGTGGGTCCAGATATATAATGGGTAAGACGCAGGTTTTGCATACAGCTGATCTGTTTTCAATCCTGACATCCCACATGGTTCCCTGAGACCACCAGGAATAAACTCTGAGTGCAGGGGTAAGCCTGACCAAAGCCGAGTATGATCCAAAAACAAAAACAAAGAGTTTTTCTGTGGTTCATCAACAGCCTATGAAGAAGATCTGTTTTCTGCTTTTTGTTGCTGTTATAACAGAATTAAGCCATATGTCTTTATTGTATTTTACTGGATGCACTTTGAGATAACTGTGCCCTATAAAACTTTACTATAATCTTTGTCATGCAGGAGTCTGTCACTTTGCAAAAATTCCCACCACCAAGAGTGACTTTTTGTATGCTAAGAATTAAAGTAGAGTCATAGGGTGAGGCTTTTAAGACACCAACTAAATGTATAGGGTTTGGTAGTGATAACAGTAAATTTATTTTCTGACCATGGAGAATTGTTTAATATTGAAGATAAATCAAAAATGAAATTGTATATGATACTTTTGTACCTTTTTTACTGAGATGACTCCTTTAATTCAAAAGCTTCAGGAGTAATATTTTATGTGCATGCTCGTGTCTCCTTCTACAATAGTATAATTCTAGATGAAAGGGAATGTCAACATATGTCTGCTCAATAGAAGTAGCTTATAATGTATATTTTATAGGTATAAATATTTGAATATATGCCAGGTTACCTATTGATATTACCTTCTATCCACCCAAAAACTTTTTCAAGGGTCAAAAGTTTGAGATACAGAAATTATATTATAGAATTAAGAATTATTACAGTTTATAAGTTTGAGCTTCTTTCTAATCTCCTTCTCTGCGAGTAGTTTTTATGTATGCTTTCTATCATCAGCTTCTATCTATTGATCAAGAGATGAGTTTTACTCCATTATTACAATTAAACATGTGAAAGTTGCTTTACAGAAAATGCTATTAGTAGTTTATGTAGTCTAGAAAGAGATTCTATAGGGTACCCTTGACTGCTCTTGAAGTTAAGTACAGAACCAAATCGAAATAAAAATGGCAACATATGAGTGAACTTGTTTCTTATACCTCTTTTGAAATGATACATATATGAAAATTTCAGAGACAGTGTTAATTAAAAAGAATTTATAGGAAATTAAAATAACAAAGTGATTTTTTAAGACATGCAGATGAACTCTTTGAATTTTCTCTAGATATCAGCTTAAGTGAGACATCAATTTTGAAAGCAGGTTTTATTATAATCTGTCTAAAACAAATCTGAGAGACACTTATAGCATTCTGTTTCTATAAACATGATCACATTTGGAAACGTTCATATAAATGAGCATTAAGATAGTAATATTAAGTAATGCACCTATAATATCTATAATAGAACATGCAAATAGATATATTCACACCTATAATATCTATAATAGAACATGCAAAAAGGTATATGAACATATTGAAGTTTCAGAGATCATATTTTAGTGTTTTAATCAATAAACAATTTTGTATTTCAATTTCTGTAAATTTTATTTCAATTGAAATATTATAAAATAATTATAATTTAAAAAATAAATATTATAAAATAATTGTAGTGAAAACAGATAAGATTTTGTAAATAATGGAATACTGTAATAGTGAATAAATTTTTAAAATAATCTAAAAAAAATTTCCTCTTCCTAATGGGGTCCGTAAAGTATTAGCAGAAAATAAAATAGAAAAAATTAATTTGCTGCCAGCA